GACTTTTTTGCACACCAAAGTGCAATTTGTAAATTTAACAGGTTTTCGCGAATATCACTTGAATCCCAAACCGATAGAAAAATATAGCTCCGAAAATAATTATTGGTATTTTTTACTCTCGATTCCTTTCCCTTTTATCAATTTAAGAGAAGAGAATTAATTTTATGAAGAAATAAATTTTTAATAACAAAAGGAAAGCCGTTCAGAGTCAAGGTTGTTGCCCACCAAGACGAAAATAGACGGCGTTTTTTTTCTCTTCTCTTCTCTTGTATGTGCAAAATTGCCTTCTTTGCAAATTCGCGAGAGCTCTCTTGGCGGCCACGCGGCGATGTTTATTTGGCAAAATCATTTCGACCGTTTGCTGCTGTATCGAGAAAGAACCGCGACCAGACTATTTTTAGACGCGAGTCATACCACACATTGCGGCGCGCGAGATTGGTTATGCTGCACCAAATGACCACTGCACGAGAGTGAGAGAGAGAAACGCCTCTAATTAAGCCAATCAACTAACTGCTCTGCTTGTCAACGCAAAGTGAAAAACAATTGGCACTTCTTAATTACTTGAAAAGCTTATAATATTTTAAAAATGAGATTTGTATACTATTGTAAATATCTATCTTTCTAACAGAAAAAGCGCAAGAAGTAATTGATTTTTATTATTATTATTATTAAAATTAAATAAATATGAAACAAAAATAAATATAATGCCGATTCCTTATTAGTTTTTGCATGTCATGTCAATTAATCATTTGTCTGCATTTCTTTGTTTTTTACATGAATAACAGCTTAAAACTAAATAATTGAATCCATAATCAGTTTTATATATTTTGTTGAAGCCATGAAAGGGTTCGAAGCCTTAATAACTTCCATGTACTTCCTTGTGTAGGGCTTAAGGTAACACAGATTAGAAATGTAATAAATTACTTGGCATCATGAGGAACGCACATTGATGAAATTGTTTTAAACAATATTTTATTTATCATGACCATTGTGCCATCATTGGATTTAAAAATTATTTAGAACATGGACGGATTATTTATAACGATTTCATAACGAATTCAATAATAAATAACTTAAAAATATAAATAAACCTATTTCAATAATTTAAAAAATTAAATAAAATTAAAAATATTAGAATGTTTTAAACTAAATAAGTTTAATAAAGAAAAAATATAATAATAAGAAATATAAATTAAAAAATATGTGTTAAAAAACAGATTACTTAAAAAAAAAACCACTGCTTGGAGACACAGATTTTAGTTCAAAAAGGGCCACAGATAAAGCAGTTTTTAATTCCAAGCTTGTTTACATCTTCAATTTAATAAAAGCATAATGATATTATTATTGTTGTCACATTTTATTCAAATATTAGAAAATAAAGGATATTTTATTCACCATTTTTTATTTTGTGATTTTCAAAGAAGAAAAACCATATTCTGAAGAATTTAAGAATTCCCAAAAATGTTACATTTTTTTTTCAAATTTGCACGAATAAACATAAAAAAATAAAATTATTAAGTCTACAATTTTTCCAGAAATCTAGGACCTATTGGAATTTGTTAAAGTAAACAATATTTTAATTCAAAATGACCAAAATTCACAATGATCCAATTTCAGAAATAATTTCTTGGAGCGAATCAAAAGCAATCAAATGAATTTTCCACTAATCTTTGCTTTTATAAAAAAATTATTTTCCTGTGCACCACTTTCGCCTCTGTGCAAGTGAGACGGCAATTGTCTGTATAATACCGGTGTGTGTGTGAATTGGTTTGGCGCAGCATAAAAATATGAATGCACCGGCGTTTCTATTGAGCAGGGCAGCAATCGCGCGGCGCCAACACGCGAATCGCAATAATTTGTCGCGCGGCGCGCGTGGAAATTGAACATTCGTACTCACGCAGGAAATGAAGTCTAGACGCGTATGTATGAAAGGAAAACAATGTTATCACCGCAACACTGCACGAGTCGTCCGATGACGCGCGCGGCGGGCACAGAGTTTAGCCTTTGCGCGAATATATAAGAACTCTGGCCATATAAAGCGCTGCAGGGAGGGGACTCGGCCGGCTTCGCAATCCCCAGTGTCAATGTTATTTGCGCCAAAACGCCATGGCCTTGACTCCCATATGTTCAGCACACACACAATAGCACAGCCCGTCTGGCTCGTCGAAGAGCTGCTCTATACTTTTCGCTCTTTTATATATATTTTCCATTTTTTTCTCAGGTGCAAAAACGCCGGACGCAAAACCGGAGCTCGGCTGCTGCTGCATACGTTCGGTTTTGCTTCCACGAAAATATTGGGCGGTCGCGGACAATCGCCGAAAAGAAAGAAAAAGAGCCGCACGTGCTGCACTCGCTTGTATTTTTCTACTTTTGTTTTGACGCTGCTCGACTCCGCACGCAGATAAAGGGAATTTTAATTATAGAGAGGTCGGATATATATGCAATAAGTTCCCTTCCGGCTGTCTGGAGAATTCTGCTTTTGCAATTGATTTCTTTACCTTGTCACAAAAACATAGTTACATTTTCACTCATTTACAAATAATTTTAAAAGACATACCACTTTTTGTTATTTCCTAAAATAGTTTGGAATAACTTATTGAAATTAACTGAAGTTTTTCTCACTTTTTGTTTTAATAAAAATTGCAACCTGATTGCAACATCAAAACAAGAGCAACGATGGATTTGTAAACAAAATTTAAGAATATTAATAAAAAAAAAAACTATTTTTATTTTTGCATTTGGGTAAGTTTTCATATCAACAGGAAATATTAGAGTATAATTGATTAATTATAAACTAACTCATCCTTTCAATGAAAAATTGAGAAAGAAGGTGAAAACTACCACAATCTGATGAGTGTTTTGAAAATTTTACGCGTTGTTAATCATTGGGAGAATTTAATATTAATGTCAACTATATTGAGATGTTTACAATAACTCAGAATTAAATGTGAAAAGCTAAGAAGCAAGTAATTTACCATGGCAACTTAATAATTCAATTACATCCTCTGCTCAAAAGTAAAATAAATAATACCAATTCATTATTAAATTAAATAAAAAACAAATAGAAATTAAAAACCAGCTAAATACAAAATAATAATAATTTTATGTATTAAATAAAATAAAATATATAAATTAACATTTAAATATAAAAATTAAAACGGCTAAATATAATTTGGACTAAATTTTGAAACAAAAAAATATGTTTAGTTACAAAAAATTGTTGAAGAAAATTATATACTTCTTATCTATTACGTGTTCACGCAAGATTTGGCGACTTTGGCGAATTTGATAGAAACGTACCTGCAGGTGTCTATTTCTGCAGCTATTGAAATTTTAGGTGCAAAAACAATTCAATATTTATCTCGTTCTTGAGTTTTCAAGATGTTTAGATAAAAATCTCTAGCTGATTGAGGCAATTGGATGATAATGGTCACCCATTATGTGGAAAATTTTCACATCATCTAGAGCTTTTTGCATGCCAGCAAAAAGGACGAGGTTCGTCTGGGTGTTTCAACCGCGCGCTGAAATCATTTTACCAGGGGGCAATAAACCTATTAAATTAATCATAGCTTTGAATATATGTATAACGAAAGCAAACACGTACAGCAAAGTATATATGGGCCAGTATTAATTAATTACGTGCCGTACTGTGTGCCATGTATTTTGTAAGGAGAGGGTGATCATATACAACAAAAATTAGCACTCATCAATGTAAATTTTGTCAAATAATATATTTTTGAACTTGAAAGTTTCTTGAGTTTCTTGTCCCTGAGAATAAAAAATTGATTTTAATTATTCGCGAAATTCGCTGGCAATTATTCGTTTATGACTCACACTTTTGATTGGCACGTAAATTCACTTTCAAGTTTGGCGGAGTCGATCGTTCGGATCGGTGGAGCCAGACAGGACAGGGACACACACACCAAATGCCCATCGGAATGCAACCGCCAAATTTGCACCCAAAAAGCGGTCAGACGCGAATTATTCCAGCTCGCTCGCCGCGACTCGCCAACATGCAAAAATACAATGCAATCCGCGCGGTGGCCGCGGCGTTAATGTTGTTGTGCCGGCGATTCGCTTGACTGTGTGCCAGACACCGGCAGACTGACTGCCACTTTTGCAATGCGGCTTGATTGCCGCGGCTGCCTTTGCATTGCATACGGAGGAATATATTATGCTCAAGCGCAACTTCCCGTAAAGAGCGCAGTTCTTGTTTTGACGGCAAATTGAAATGCCTTCAATTCCATTTATCATAATATATCAATTAGTACCTCCAAAATTTGTACTGAAATTTAAATCAGCGGATAACGCTGCATTTAGTATAACTTTTTAGATCCTAACAAGACCAGCAAAATTGAAAGTCTAAATTAGTCAAACATTTCGTTGCTGTATAAACTCATATATCTATAATTATGTTTTTAGCTTCTTCAGTTGACCTTTTTAAGTAAATTAAAATTTGAAAAAAAAAATGCTTTCTGGCTTTTAGCAACGAGTATTATGGCTGTTAAAAAACCTTACCTGGCTGAGGCTAACTTAATGTACTGGGCAAAGGGCGGCCTATAAGTTAGCTTGGGCCAGCTAAGTCTTTTGGATCGCCGCATCATTGAATTTTAAACCACTGTTTTTAAAATCTAGTATTCCATTAAATAAATTTTTCGATCATTTTCACTACAGAGAGAGCAGATAAGACCAATTTTACCTCCTCAGAATTGATTGCATTTTTTTCCTTGTATATATTAAATGGCCATAACATTTGCAGAGAGGAATACCAATTTTTAATTACGCTAACAATTAAGCATTAAAATAAGTTTTTTTTTGCAATATACGAGAACTTTCTATTAGAGCTCAATTAATGGCGGCGCCCAGAGCGCGGGAAAGCCAATCACAGGGCCGTGGAAGATTTTGCCGCCTTTTTTGCCCAATCAAGCAATTGCCCTAATCTCAACTGACTTAATTTTTTCCACTAAAATTAATTTTTAACCTAAAATCGAGATTTTTACCTGCATGGGCCGGTGTGTCATCCCACGCCAGCTGTGTCTCAGGGTTCACCTGCACCACAGGGTTCGCGAATTGGGAAAATGCAAATCGGCACACATCGATAGGCAATTTGGCTGCGCTTCTCCGCCATGTTGGTGATTTCCCGGCACAATTTCCATCGGAATTCGCAGGAAGGTGCACGATCACTGAGCGCAGAGCACAAAACACTCACACAAGCTGGCGGCGGGGTCCACGCACAGGGGCTCCTCGGCGGGGCAACTGCGGGGGTCCCGTTTTGGCGCGAAAGCGGCGCGAGAGCGCACTCGGACGCGTCCGGATCGAGAGCACTGGTGGGCGCGCGGTGGGCTCGCTACAGACTGGTGAGATCCCTTAAATGCCTCCTCATTATTAAACCTGTGTGTGTGTGTTGTTGAGCAGCAGCGGCGGCAGCAGCGAGCGCGCGCAGTTCGGCGGCGGAGCGAGCGAGGGCCGCCGCCGCCGCCGCTCTCGACGCGGCCGCGGACGATATAAAACACTATCGCGCCGCTCTGGTGTCTGATATTCGAAAAATAATTTTTTTATTTTTATTATTTAACTCCTCCCCTCGTACACCTAGCGCAAGTATTGATGCACCAGTAGTTTTTTCGAAAGGCGTGGTCTCGCGCCGCGGCGGCCGCACACGGATCTCCTCGCCCTCTAATGTATGTAGCGAGAGCCCCTGATATATATTTATGCGATACTGTCCGGTCCGTCCGTCCGTCTCTCTTGCTTGCTTGCTGCACCAAGACCGAATTAAATACACACACATGCGCCGCGCGCGTTAATGAATTCGCGGCGTGCACGCAGCCGCGCTGACTAATTAACTCGCCCCGCTAAACAGAGGTGCATTATTATTATTGAGCTGCATTTTACTTTTACTCTTTTACAATTTATACGGCTGCATTGTATCCGCGCGCGCTCACCGCCATGTCTGCTATTTATTCCTTTGATTCAGACATGATGTGTGTGTATGGGGGCTTTTTCATTCCGTCTCCCTTTGATAGTTAATTAATATTTGCATGTTTTAATTAATGGTTTATGTTTTGGAAATGAGCATATAATTTTAATTTACAAATGCCTAATCATGTAATTATAAAATAAAAACACTTATGAACTAATATTAAATGTTTGGTAAAGGATTTATTGTGAAAGTTTAATTGTCAAAGCTTTAGATTTATATATACTAGCCGCTTAATGATTATAGAACTTTTAAATTAAATTCACTTAGAAAACTTAATTGTACAAAGTGATCCCTCCTAATATTTCTAGTATTAATTATATATGCTATAGTAAAACAATAGCTGCGTTTAAATTTTGCTATGCTTGTTGTCTCGTACATGTAAGAGCTACAAATTTTGATTAAATAATCAAATTTTTTAGCTCTTGTTATTTTTCTTTTTGTTTGTATTTTGTAATTTTAAAACTTTGTATGTAAAATTCTAATCTTTTCTCTCAATTAAATTTGTATAATTTTGAATGAATAAATGATGTATCCTGTTATTTGTTATTGATAAATAAACACAATTTGCCAACTAAACAAACTCTCTCTGATTTTTTCTTTTTTAGCAAAAGAGCAGTGCTATTTGAAACAGAAACTTTGCATCTTCACAAGCTATTCAATAATCGATTATTATTTTGCCCCTACATCCTTTATATGGAGAGAAACCCTCAAGAGATTTGTCAACTAGTATAAAATTATAATTTAATAAGAAGTAAATTCTCATTTACTTTATAAAACTCTCATTCATAAAATGAAAGTAATAACTATTATTGCTATTATCATTTATTCTTCTCAATGAAAACAAAATTTTTTAAACAACTAGCAGATATGTGCTAAAAAAAATACTTAAAAGCACTAATTAAAAGTTTCATATAAATCTGCTTACTTTATTTAATGTTTACAAAAAATACAATAAAAGTATAAAGTTTAATAATTTGTTTTAAAGTTTTTAAATTTTTACTCCGTTAAACTAATTTTATTAATTTTTTATTTAAATATTATAAAATTGAAGATTTTAATATTTAATTGAGTAATTAAACAATTTTTTTAATTAATAATGCGACTATTGCTGGTAAAATTATCAATGCAAATTTATAAAAATTATTTCCGCGTTGAAATAACTACAACGTGACTTTTTAATTAAAAAATATTGTTTCATTTCATAGTAACAATAAGGTTCATTAATTTATAAAATATTGAAAGATGATGAAACATTTTTTGTCCATCCAATTACTGATGCACATTTATTTGCCTCAATAAAATATCTTTTAAAACAACTTTAATTTTCATGGTTTTCTAATTGAAATTTTAATTATTGACAATATTGATATGGTGAGATTTTCTAAAAGTTCGATGTACATATTTTTTTTACTCACGTAATGATTAAATTGTGAAATCTCTAATTTTTACCCCAATTTTTAGTTAATTTGTCATCGAAAGAAGACCAAATATTGACTGACTAAAAATTCAGTCTTAAAGAAGTGTAAAGTAGGCAAAATCTCTACACAGAGGATGCTTTTGTTGCCTACCTTGGAATTATAAAAATATCTGGAATAATATTAAGTTTTTGAATTGGCAGTTTTAGTAAATAACCAATTTAATTCCTTTCACGTGCCATCTAAATTGAGATGTCCTTTACGTTTCAGTTCATTAACTGATTCTCCATGAATTGATATTAACGTAAATTAAATTAAAACTGATTATAAAATTTTCGAGCAGCTTTTAAATTCAACAGTGTCAAATTGGAAAAGCTGCAAATAGAGAGGATAATAAGCTTTCATGCTGGTTTACGTGCAAAAAGCCATGGAGCGGACATTGAAATTCTGCAAGTGTCGCAGGGCTCGGAAGTTCACATGTGTGTCTATTCGTGTGCGGCAAATTATTTATTTGGCCGAACCAAAGCCATAAAAATGATTGGCGAGGAGCGCTTCGGGTGGCGTTCGAGGTGCGGACAGGGTTTCTGTGGCCCTGGGCAGCCCCCGGGGCGGCCCAAGTGTCGCGGGGCGTGGGTGCAGCGGGCGGCGGCACCGGCTCTGCTGCACCCGCGGAGAAATGTGCAAATAAATTGGGTGGAAAAGACGCGGAGCAGCGCAGTGAGTCAGACAAAGCTCGCAGGCCTGCATCAGGGCATAAAAAGCAATCATATCAGCACACAGACTTGTCTGCGGGGATGACCTTGGAATAAACTCCAGCCGCCGCGTCCGTCGCTTACGTCACGCTCGCAACTGGCTGGATATTTTGCACGGCACACCATACAATGTGCCGAACCGACTTACTTTGTGTGGGCATACGACTCATGTCGCATGACCTGCTGTCTGTCTGCACGTCACTCTCCCCGCGTGCACACCCCGCCGCGGCTCACATGAACCCGCCGAGCCACCGAGCCGCGTTCACTTTCCGCGGCCACATGTGCCGGACGTGTGAGTGCAAATTTTTCGCAAAAATCACCAAATATCAGAAATCGGCCGATTTTTTGCTCCGACTCTTCCTTGCTCAACTGGCTGTGAAATTTTGCTAAGCATTTGGTAGTGATGAAAATTTGCAACGTTTCATATTTGACCCTAAAATATTTGCACAGTTTATTTATCTCTTCTTCAAATTTATTTTCCGTTGAAATTATTTTTTTTTTTCCATTTATGAGCCAAAATTTGCAACCGTTTCCTTCAATATTACGGGTTATAAAAATGGCTGCCACTCTAGGGACTTAAAAAGCCAATATTAAGAGCTCTCCGTCAATTTCGGCCCAGCATTTAATCAGGCACACATCTCTTTAAATTGTCTTATTTGAATTTCCGTCTGGAAATAATGCAGAAAGAAATTTTTCAGAAGAGGGTGTAGAGCTCCTTTAAAAAGTTTAGAAATTAGCCATATAACAGGGCCGAAGGTGTCTCATCTCGTTAGGTATCAACACCATTAAAGTTGCTTTGCAAATTTAATTTGGTTTGATATAAATTTGAATTTAATAGAATCCAAATTAATTTATCAGGCATATTTAGGACTCGAAATGATTAAACAAAATTCTCACAAAAAGCAATGCATTTTAATATGACATTATTTTCACAAATTAAAGTTTTGTTGAACAAATTGAAAGGGTACATTATTTTTTTCTAAATTAAAGTGAAATTGATTTTCAAAAACGTTACACCTTCAATCATTCAGTTTTGCTAATAACTTAAAAAAAATTTACAATTTGCCAAACCGTTAATAGCATTTGAAGCGCCAGAGGAAAAAAATCAAACAACCAAGGCGTGTGAATCTTGCACATCATACGAAAGTTCGCGCCGAGATTACACAGAATCTTAATTAAAAAGATCTGCATAAATTTTGACCGCATTTGCATGAGAGGAGAGTCTTTCTTTGCTTTTTCTTGGCGCGCACGAGGGAGCAAAGCAAGTAAACAAAAACTTTTGCAATTAACTGCGGTTTACTGCGAAACAAGAGCGGCGCGGCTCGAAAAATTTGTTTCATCATAAAGAGGGATTCTTCATTGTCCTGCTAAAAAATTCACTCCTCGCCAAATTTCAGAACTGCTACTGCAGTACTTTTTTAAACGTTGACAAATGCTACTAAAAACCTGCCGCAAATTTAGTCTTTACTCCCCCTAAAGGAAAAAGTTTTTTAATTTTTTTTTCAATTTCAAATTTTTAATTCAAAAAGCTGGGAAAAATAACAATCTAGTGAGACTAACAGAACTTTTGTTATATCAATTAAAAATTTTGCGCAAATAGTTGATTAATTTTAATTGTTAATTAAGTTAACTCTCTTCAATATTATGAATATAAAAAATAAAATAAAACGTGGAAGCGTTTTGGTGGTTGTGATATTATCAGTTCCGGATTTGATTTTGATGATGATTTCAATTTTCTTTTTCAATAATTTACATGATTCAAGAATAACATTCACAAGACATGTGCAATCAGAGAACTAGAGATTCTACGTTTAGCATTGGCATTATCTTCCGTTTCAAAACAATATTGTGCATAATTATATATTTAAAAAAAAAATACAGTTATTTAATCAAATAAAAATAAGAAAAAACATTTTAAAAATGAAATATAAAATATAATAAAAAAATATATTTTTAATAAAATATGTTATAAAAAAAATGATAATTTTTTTATTATATTTATTTTGTAATGTTTTTATAACTATAAGTGGTAAATTTTATTTCATGAATAAATATATTAAAATACAGTTTCATAATAAACCAAATGTGAACAATAAGAGTTTAATTTGGCATAAACTCTGCAAGCATGATAATTGAAAAAACTTTGAACTGAAACTTAATCAACTTTTTTTTCATTTTAAACACGAGAGATTCAACTTTAAATCTCTCCGTCCTCTTCATGCTTTGCACATCAAAATAATGCGACGACAAGTTTCAATTTTAAATATTCGAATTTTGAAAAGCAATTTTCGCTTCTAGGCAGACGCTCATTAAAATTCATCTCCACTTTGCTTTGTTAAGTGCCTTTGCAATTCAAATGTAGAT